CACAGAATCTTGCGGAAATCCACAAAGAGGCATTGAGTAACTGCTATAAAAACAATAACTTTCCTACAAAAACTGCAGGTCCTTCTAAATTGACCATGGCTCATTCAAAAAACCAAATTAAGAACTACCTTAGATTTCGACAAACAAAAAAAATCAAGACAAAAAGTAAAGTTTCCCCCACACACTGTGTAAAGACGCCTCTACGAACCGTTACAAAGACGCAAAAAAATTCAACCAACCGCTGCCCTCAAAAACAATTACACCAGTAGTTGCAACTTGTTCTTTAACTGTATAAAATTAGAGACCGGCACAGATTTATTTTGACCCTAACGAATAAAAAAACGATACCTATTAAAACCAACCTGTTTGAAGTGCGTACAGAAAGTAAAATTGTTCAAAGGAACAACACTGACTCTTTAGTCTTCTTACTCGTGCTTTACTCTACAGGAATAAAAACCTGAGATACTCTAGAAGTTTTCAGTTAATACAAAGATGGCAATAAAACGCTGTGTTTGGTCGCAAAATTGAGCAAGCTCGCTAACCATTACCCATTTGCATTAACCCAACTGGAAAACGCTACTTACGACTTACAGCGAGCAACATAACCAAAAAACATATGAGACTAAAACCAGCAGAAGCTATCCAACACACCCTATCCTTGCAGAACATACGAACACAAATTGGTCACACGGACCGTTGAAAGCAGAAATCCAGAAACCTCTAATAACGAGAGCTACAATATTCTTCAAACAACTAATAGCTCAAGCGCAGGGTTCACCTTGGAATGTACAAATTCATACTCTTGGACCTTGCTGGGGAAATTCTCCAAAAGTCTACAAACTTGCAAATCCTTTAAAACAAAGAAAAAAGGCAAGTAAATCCTGAGTAACTTTTTCTGTTCTAGAAGCCAGAAAAAAATAACAGCCCTTGCGCTCAAAACTAAGTAGTTGAAAGCGCCATTTGGAATAAGACTCTTATAACTTCATTTTAAAGTTATAAAATATGGCCGGAATATTCCTAGGGATGAAGCTAATCAACCTGGTAATGCGGCCAACAATAAGCAGCTTTTTTGCATACGTTTACTTGACTGAATGAACGAATTTTTGTTTCTGTAAGGCAGGTCGCGCCATTATATTCAAAGCGACGTTTACTTTATACAGTACCCAATGCTCCTACTGCAGAGCCGTTAAGAAATGAAATGATAAAATAACAAGTAACGCTCACCCTCCGCGAAATCCATCTCCTCCACCTGGCGGCCCCCTTTCACGATCATCTCCCCAGCGGCTTGGACGATCACGTCCGCGATCTTCACGTGCTCCTCTGTCTATAACCTTTCGATAAAAACTATGCTTATGTTCTCCACTAAAATACAATAAAAAGACTGTACCTCTACTTGGATAATCACGGTCTCTGTCCCCTCTACCTCCGTAGCTATCCCGGTCACGATCACCTCGATCTCTACTACGATCATCCCTATTTGAATAGCGATCACCTAAAAGTGCTACCAAGCAAAGATACTGCACAAAATTCTTTCATAGACACACTTTACTTGTAGATGCAGGCATTACCAGAAACAGGTGTTTGAAAAAAAAAACCTACGATCGCCTGGGTAACCTCCACGTCCACCCCGCTCATTTTGATATCCGCCGTCATTCTGATATCCACCCTTGTTATCACCTCCATGCTGACTTGGCCCACCAGATCCCCTGCCAGGACCCTGTGGGCCTCCATAGCTCGAGTTTGAGTTAGTGCCGAATCCCCCCGAAGGGCCACTATTTGCCCCTGAAGGCCCATTTCCTGGACCAGCCGGACCAGAACTTTGAGCAAAATAACCGGAATACTGAGTCGCTCCAGGCTAAACATATAAAATTACCCGTAAAAGAATCTTATAAATTTCAAAAAAATAAAGAGCGAGATTAAAAAGTTACATCAGCTGGAGTAGTTGACGCAGTGGCACCAGGCTGCTGCGCTACTGCGGTTGTACCTGACTGGGTAACATTAGCATTTTGACCCATCACAGCATAATACTGTTGCCACGCCTAGAAAAGAACAAATTATTTCACCAATTAGAATAAAAAACTACAAGAATAAAAAAAAAGCAGTCAAGAAACTCTCATCTTATCGACCTCTCAGTCGCCAAAGAATGCAGAAAGTTACAGCGAGTACATGTACAACTGCTAGCTAAATCGAAAAGCAACAAATCGTACTTGTTGAAATTGAGCTATGGCAGCGGGATCGTACTGCTGATAAGCTGCCGAATTTGGATCGGAAGTGGCGACAGGAGCTGAAAAAAGCTATTGGTAAAGTGTGCCATAGACTAAGTGTGACTCATTGTGAATCAAAATTAAGTGCTATGCGAGGCGGAACAGTTACAACGGCAATACCCGTTTCAGAACCAGATGGTCGAATTTCCCACTAATTCCCCCCAACAAAAAATGACCAAGTATTACGAAATTTATCATAAGTCTGAATGCTAAGTAGGCAATTCTACCACGCCAACTGTTTAAATCTAAAGTCATTTGCATTAGGCTAAGAGATGACGTAACAAAGCGATGTTAAGTCGGTTTCACAAAGTCAAAGCAAAAAACTAGGGTACCAGCTACACTGACGAAAATAATAAAAGAAGGACAACAGCAAAATAATTACAAAAATAAAACACAGTTCGACCAAGAAAATGGACGAGATACTTCAAACACAAACCTGACATGCTGCCGTTTTTGATTGGACTTGAAGGGTGAAGAAAACGCCCTACAGCCAACTGAGAGACACAAATTTGATGGTAAAGTTAGATCTGAAAATTCCAAACACAAAATTATAAGATTATATATAACAAAAGTACGACGACATTTAACCAATCCAAGTTCAATTATGGAAATATATTGGTGTTTTCAACAGCCATAACAAATCAGCTCTCAAAAAACCAACCAATATGACTGAAAGTTTTCTTTTCTTCACAAAAAAGATGGTCTTCTTAAACAAATGTCAAAGGCACATCTACTCATAACAGAATTCATCGAAAAAAAAAAATCAATTTGTGCTCATCAAAAATACTTTCATTTCCACTAATGTTTGCTGTTTCACGAGCAACTACCAAGAACAACATAATCAATCAAGAAAAAAGCAAAAAGAAAAAACTAATCTCATGTTCACGCCGGTTTTTAAATAGAGAATTGACAAAGCCATTATAACCAAACAGAATTTTTCTTGATGAAACGAAAAAAAAAAAAAAAAA